GCAGTTAGAAGCACTGCCATCCTTCGGCACAGAACAAACACCTGAAGCTAGACCAGACCCACAAAGTAGCAATATCTTTATTTACAAAATATACAGTTTCACAGAAACAGCTCGCTTTATACACATAAACTTTATAATTACACAGAACCATGTAAACGATGTTTAGTGTCTGGCCTGGCCAAAGCCCATGAGGGGCCTACTTTGGGGGTGACACCTTTCCCTCCCCTCACTTCATTAGTGATCAACCAGGAGCCCCTAGATTGGTCATGCCTAATTTGCATAAAGAAGCTGATTGCAGCTGCCCAGCTCAATCTATCCCAAAAACCAAGGTTTGTGCCTACCATTGCAGACACCACCCACAGAGATAGATTTGTTAAAACACAAACAAAATCAAGGAAATAAATTGAGATGAGTATCAAACACGTTCCAGAAGCATCAAACCTTCTAGCACACATTAACCATCACCAGGGTTGGCAGTTCCAGTCTAAAACCACACATATTCTTAAATGCACTTTAAAAAATCTTGTGAGTTTAAAAAAAAAAAAAGAAAAAAAAACACCTTAGAACTTTGGTTATTCTCATGGTGAAGATAGGGGACAGGCATCATCATGGGGCAGATCTTTGGCAAATTCCTCCCCAACTTGTCCTAGATGTTTGCCCCAGTCAGAGTCAGACAATAGCCTGCGGACAAGGTTTCTCAACCAGCTATTTCTCTGCAGCAGAACTCTCCCTTGGGATCTCCACAGTAAACTGAGTTTGAGAAGCTATTTCTCTCTACTTTCATACTTTAATATAAGCAACAGGACTTTTAAAAACTAAGACAGTTGACTGGACAAGTGTGAAGGATATCAGCACAAAAAAAAAAAAAAAAAAAGGCTCTGGTTAGCCAAATAACATTTCAACCCCTTGGTGCTTCAGTGAGTGAACATGGGGAATGGCTGGTGGTGGCCTGGGCATAAATGTGCCACAGAGAAGGGAAATTCCCATCAGGGAGACTGTGGGCCCATCTTGCTTCAAATAATATGCAAATAAATATAACTTGGGTGTTCTTCCCTTTTCATGCCTTACAAGAAACAATGCAATGAGAACACAGCCACCACTTTACAAAACATTCTTGAGAACATATACTTGAACTGAAGAGTAAGGTCGATTTCAGAGAAAACTGAGGCCTCTTCTCTCCTTGAGCCCCAGAACCACCAGTGTACCAGGTATACTGCCCTTGAGCACAATCTGCAGGGGCTTCAGGGCTTAAGTTTCTCCAGATCTGGGCTACAAAGGGGCCTCTCCAGTCCAGGATCCCCGCTAGAATCTGAGGAACACATCATAGTTCAACAGTATATTTCTTTCTTTTTTGTGTGTGGTGCTGGGGATTGAACCCAGGGCCTTGTGCATGCAAGGCAAGCACTCCACCAACTGAGCCAAAGCCCTAGCCCTCAATAGTATATTTCTAAAGACCAGTGTTGCTGTACCACTCACTCACTCACCAATGCAAACCAAAAGGACTCAAGTCCTTCTAACCTTGCCCTGGTGGAACCAGCAGGCCAGCCTGTCTCAAAGGGCATACTTAAATCCCCCACAAGAGAGACCTCCTGTTTTTCGGTACCCCATCATTTAAAGGAACACCATTCATGTCCTAGCAATTGCCTAATCTTTAGGTTGCTACTGGAATAAGTGAGAGGAAGAGATTAGAAAACCTAAGCACTCCCCATGCTTGAAAACAGCTTGCCTGGGCCACCTGAGGTGCCTTTTACACCAACTGGAGAGAAAGGAAGGGCACCAGGCGAGAAATCGGCCAATACTTTTGGCTGCATCGTGCAAAGACAGGTTTTTCACATCGTGCAAAACAGGAAACCGAGTTATGAATGTGGGCTATCTCACCCCCCAAGCAACCCTTTCCACAGAGCAGTGACCACATATAATCCCTTCAACAAACAGGGGAAACCAAAGAATTACAAGCTCACCTGACACCCCAGAACTCCTCTTGGTGACATCAGAAGACGCCAGCAGCAGCTCCCTGGACTGGCAGGGGCCATGGAAACAGGTATTGAGTGCAGGCCACAGGGAAGGGGACACTTGGATGGCTGCTGTACAGACACTTACGGTGAGAGACTGACACTCAAGAAGAAACGTACACATATGGCTGTTCGTTTACAGGCTGGGGAAACCAAACATCTCCTCTCCCCAACAGTGGAAGCAGGAATAACAGCTAGCACTTGTTCCAACAGTGGGAATTTGTTAACAATGATAGCAAAAATTCACAACCACCACATACCCTCACTTTCAGCTGAACCAAACCCACCATACTTGGGTGTTTAGTCCACTTCCACTGCAGAGAACACAGCTCTGGCAGCAGCTTTGGCCAACAAAGATTTTATTCGCTCACTGGCTATGTACAGTTTCTACCTCGAACAGCCTGTCCTTTTGCTTAGGCACCTGAATGGCAGGATCTGCCTGTACCAGAGCTGGGAGTTCTGTGCTCAACTGAGGGAGGGCCACAGAGCTCCGATTCCTTCCAGTCCCTCGCCTGGAGTCTCCTCGCCAGCGCAGTCAGTCTAGGAACAGCTTCCGGGAACCCATTCGGGAACGGTTGGAACGGCGGATGTCAAACTTGGAGTCCCGGCACTTTTGGCAGACAAACACTTCTGGAACATTGGACTTCCGGATTTTCGCACAGGACAGGTGAATCCAGGTGTGGCACTCATTACACTCTATCATAGGGCGGCCAGCAAATGGCTTCATGCAGAAGCAGGTGACAAGGTCCCAGGAATCATCATCTGGAAGGAAAGAAACACATTTGAAGAGGGGAAAACTTTTTTGGTGATACTGGGAACTGAATCCAGGGGAACTCTGAGCTATGTTCTCAGACCTTTTCATTTTTTATTTTAAAACAAGGTCAAAATTGTTGAGGTTATCCTGGAACTTGTGACCCTCTGCCTCAGTCTCCTGAGGCACTGGGATCCCTTTTGACAGCCACTTTCCCCCAGAAGAACTGCTCGTTTGACAGGCAGAACAGCTGGGCATGGCTGCAACCCACTACCCAGCCCACAAAACAAGCCCAACTTCCATACGATGCCATTCTCTCTACAGGAATGTGCAGTAAGTGTATCAGGAGGGCACTCAGTTGTAGAGTGACCATTTCTACATCTTGAGATCTGCTGTGGCACCTGGGCTGTTTCAACACTGCTAAGCATCTCTGCCCACCTTCCTGCACTTTCTCCCACAAGGACAATGGGCACTCTGCAACCACACTGCAAGGAAGGGCCCAGTTACTCTGATTGGAAAAGATTACTAAAACAACCCATCTTAAAAAAAAAAAAAAAAAGAGGAGGAAGAAAACAACTCCTCTTCTGTTCATCAGCCCATGAGTCTCCACCCTTCTGGGATCACTACCTGAATCCACCATGATGTCCTCATCGTTGCCGGTGCTGTCCTCATCTCGGAACACCACCTGCTTTCCTTGCCGGACAATAGTCCGTTTGCCCTCAGTTTTTATTTCTTTGACCTGATCGGGTGACACAGTGGCACAAGAGCCACTTGAAGGAGTGTCGGAGTCCCAGCCTGAGCAGGGGTCGCTGGGAGCCTGAGGGATATCCTGCAGGGTAGGACTTGTGGGGGACTCCACATATGGATCTGCAGCTTCCAGCTTCAGCAATCCCCCTCTGTATCCCTCCTTCACAGGCACATCACTGTCCCTGCGCTTTCTCTTCTTCTTCTTCTTCAGCTTGTCCGTCTTCTTTCTGTCCAGCAAGAAGTTACTGGGCTTGGCTCGCTGTAAGAGGGTGGGCTGCAGGTGGCTGAAGCAGCGGTCAGACACTGGCAAGGGCACAGAGGACGCGATGTCAGTGAAACCAGTGTCCCAGCCATCACTGTCAATGGTGCCAGCAGTGCTGTTGGCAGGGCTGGGGCTGCTCCTCAGAGGGAGCTCCTGAAAAGACAGGCAAAGGAAACAAATTCTGGTTACTGAGACCCCCAGTGACAAGAGCCAGCCCCCAGCAGAGCTTCCCCAGTCACCCATCACCCAGGTCGGGCCTCCCCTCCAGCAATGAACAAGCACAACCTCAGCCTTGGTGCTTCTCAGCAGCACACACCAGATTAGTACTTTAACATGAGCCTCTGGTGGAAGAACTGTCTTCCCTTGCTGAACTCTCAGACCCTGCCCCAGAGTGAGCTGATGTTCAAATGCCCAGGGAAAGAGCTGAGGGTGTGGCTCAGTGGTAGAGGCCTTGCCTAGCATATCAGCCCCAAGGGGAAAATTTAAAAATTGAGAAAAGGACCTCTGCAGACACACTCTTATATCTTTTTTTTTTTTAAGGTCTCTCTTTCCATTTGTCCTCCCAAGAGATGTATTTTTTAAATTAAGTGAATTTAAATTAGTTTTGAGAATTCCTACAGTCTTAAAGAAACTGAAGACATCCTAGAATATTGCAAAATCAAAGTAAATAATTACCGCCCTGAAGCAGCAAACTAAACTCTACAGTTCTTCAGATCATTCAAGCATATTATCTGCAAACAGTGGCAACATTGGACGTGGTACAGAGCACACATAACCCACCTATATAGCCAGTGGAAAGAATAAACCAATGCTATGGTTTTTGCCTCCTGAAAATACCAGATCCTTTTATTTGTAGCTTAATATAATATGAATGAGGCCCCTGAAGTTTGAGCACCACAGCAGCTCTGTCCCACAATCCTGTCCTTTTCTCCATTTACATAGGATCTGGGGGGGATGAGTCTCTGAAGATTTGGTTATGTGCTGTTCACAGCCACCAGGAGGCTGCCTGAGAGACAAGTGTGGACCCTGGGTCCTAGGGCAAGGTATTTCCCTGTCTGCCTCAATGACCTCTCACCCTTAAGGGCCAAAACCAGTGTCCAGTCACTGTAAAGAGAAAGTACTGACAAGAAATTCTTAAGAGCAGACAGATCCCAAATACATTATTTCCAAAAAATTTTGAAAGTTTGTTAAATCATTTCTATACAAGTCTATATTTTCTACCACAGCTTTAAGAACCACTTTTCTGCATGGTGGCACACACCTGTAATCTCAGAAGCTCAAGAAGCTGAGGCAGGAGGATCACAAGTTCAAGGCCTCAACAACTTAGCAAGACTCTAAGCAACTTAGTGAGACCCTGCCTCAAAATAAAAATTTTTAAAAGGACTGGGGATGGGGCTCAGTGGTAGAATGTTTGCTTAGCACATGGGAAGCACTGGGTTCAATCCTCAGCACCACATAAAATAAAGGTTTTGTGTTCATCTACAACTGAAAAAAAAAGAGGCGAGGGAGGGGGGCTGGGGATGTAGCTTAGTGGTTTAACACCCTTGGGTTCAATCCCTGGTACCACCCCCCCAAAAAAAAAAAGGAAAAGGAAAAAAAAAATCACTTCACTGGCTAGTCTAAACTCCCAAGAAATGAACTCCTACCAGACCACTGCCTGAGATCACCAGAAGCAAGCCCTTCCAAATGCACTTGGACCAAGTGCTGGGGTGCAACTGCACAGGGAGCCAAACTTCAAATGCCTGCATATTTACCTCCTTTGGGTAAGGGATGTATCCAGCATAGGCCAAGACAAAGGTGCAGAACTTGTTGAAGTCCTCTACAGTCCTACGCCTCTTGCAACTGGGGGAGTACTCCTGTTAGGGAGAAAAGGGAGTGTGAAGGAAAGAAAGGCTTCTAGGTGGGACTGCAGACAGACAAGGAAGCTGAGCTTCTACTGTCAACCACTTAACAAACACACTGATGGATTTACAGCCTACAAAACAGAAGAGGTAAGTTCAGGTTAAGAAATAAAACAGTTTTCAGAAGAGCCAAAATGGTAAGATTTTGTGCCAAGAACACTGGGAATCTGACTAAGAGATAAAAGGTGGCAGGAAAGTCGACCTCTTGGTGCTCATGTGGCATTTTATGACCTTATCTTCTGGTTCCTGCACATATCGGGAGCTCTAACTATGTTTTTTGCTACAGGTTTTCCATTTTGAAAGTAAACCACTGCTACTGCTGTAACTAGAGTGCTGGGACTTGGAAAACCAACACTTATCCGGCCCTGCTCTTCAGGCTGACCCCTGCCCCGCCAGGGCGGGTGAAGACCAAGTTTCTGTGAGTCAGGAGCCCCCCACAATCCTCAGGGTCGGGTGCAACCCAGACAGGGAACCAGGTACGCTCCGGCTGCACGCCGAAAGGCTGGACCCGGACAC